GGGAGGAAAGGGAAAGGGAAGTAAAAAGGGTGTATCATACATATCTTGATCCCTTTTACACACACACACACATATATGTATATCCCATAATAAATGTACTTACTGTGTATCACAAAAATATACTAATAAAACATTTTTAAATAAGCCAAGTTGATGAGATGCCTACAGCAAGACTACCTTGTGGTTTCTCAGATCCCCTGGTCAGGTCCAAATCCAGCCCCAGACCAGCAGAAGTTTCAGGTTAAAGAGCCACGACACCTGCCACTTGCCAGGGCTGAGAAAGGCAGAGGCTGTCACCTGCAATTCATGGAAGGCGCAAATGAGGCTTTAGATAAACAAGGTCTCTTTGCAGGGAGTGGAAGTATCCATATGCTAACCCTCTGAAGACTTTAATACACATGTCTGGATCTATTAAACTACATGCGTATCTTCCTTCAAGGCAAAAAGGAGCATCTGTCGCCATCCCCTTGTATCTAATTTCCTTTATAAATAGTGGGCTTCATCAGATGCTAAAATCAAGCCACAGAACACAAAAAATCTGGCAGCCAGGACAGTAAAAGAAGCCTCACAGAACTACCTCTTCAAATGTCAAGGTGGGCTGCCAGGCCTCCCCTGCATGTTTCCTCTGCCTGGCACTTCTTGCTATGACAGACAGATAGAAATCAATATGCCGGTATATGTACATGTTCTCTAGTCTGTTTTTGGAGAGGTGTATGACATGCTTTTTAGTGCTCATTCTGTGCTGTGTTTGGATCTCTCCACAAACAAATTCTCACTTTCCTTTCTCATTTCTAGCATTGGTTCCCTTGGAGAGGCACCAAAGGTAGAAATGGTTGGGAGGATGTAAAAGAGCCATAGAAACTTCCATTGATCCTTAGCTGAGTGTTATGATGGGTGCACTAACTTCAGCTCTGCTGTTTCCTAGGTATATGTCTTTAATTATGCAGAACCTTAATATAACTGGCTTTACACTGCCATAGTTTTTAGCCCATAGTAAGCATTAAATATTAACAAAGTAGTACTGCCTACTTTATGAATTTATATACAAAGCACATTAGGTAGTACTAGCCCCTTAGTCATGTGGCTAGAGGAAAAACATCTCTCATCTTTGGACTGGATTCACCTGACCATCTCCTCAACACTTTTTAAAATCACACTCCAAGCTGGGCATGGTGCACATGCCTGTAATCCCAGCACTCGGGAGGCTGAGGCAGGATGATTTGTGATTTCGAGACCAGCCTCAGCTACAAAGTGAGCTCCAGGCCAGCCTGAACTGCAAGGAGCAAGACCCTGTCTCAAAAAAAAAGGCAAAAAAAAGAAATAAAATCACACTCCAGGGCTGTGGGTGTAGCTCAGAAATAGAGTACTTACATAACATTTGGAAGGCCCTAGGTTCAGTCCCTGGCACTGCCCAAAAAGAATAAGATGTAAAAAAATCAAACTCTGAAGTCCAAGCTCTTGTACTTCCAGAGTCTGCAATGAAGTCCAGTGACATGAAAGTGACAAAGACACTCACCTAAATGCAGTGTTTCATACTGCACAATTCCATAAGCCACTTGTTTTCTATTTTGCAAAATCAGTGGTGAAACATCTTATTTTTATTCATTTTTGTCTCCTAGCATGGAAAGAACTGTAGCTCTATGGAAGGTAAAGTAAAACCCAGAGGCTAGCCCTCAAATTCAAGGCACCCAGCACAAAGTCACCCAGTTTCTTTTCAAAACTGGGTTTCTGGGCTCAGACTGATGGCAATCGGGTGTTCCACTGTAGCTTTGATATTCTGGCAATTTTCTCTTAGTTCCTCTGTGAGCACACACCCAGGGCCAATAGCTTCTTTTTGTCTTAGTGAATTCCTGTTTTCTAAAATGAACATCCTCTTATGGATTGCATGCTCTGGAATCCCCTGGCAAGCCCCCCACTCTTTCTCCTCAGGATGTCCTACCTTCTCTAATGTCACCACTCTCCTTTATCCTGTCTCCTATGTAGTACCTTTCCTTTCAACTTCATTACACACCTTCTAGATCCAAGCAAACTAACTCCCCAAATGTTGAGGGACTTAGAGTCCTTAAGCTGCTCCCTCACCTTCTGCCCTTTCCCCTTACAGGCTTCTCCTGCTTGAAACATTGCCTGCAAATAGGATGGATCACATGACAATGTAGTGGCAAAATCAGGAGAGCTCTTCGGGGAAAGATCCAAATAGGGGACAATCTCCTGCATACTCACTTCCTCTCCTTCCTCTGATACTCTTCTCATGTTTAGGCAGAGTTCTATTATGTTTATGCCGCATTTCAGCATCAGACTCATCTGTGCTCCACCCTTTTAATAGAAACTCAGGAAGCACTGTCCTCCTATGTCACTTCCTCCTATGTCACTTCCTCCTGCAGTCCTACCTAGGGACCTACAGGTTCCCAGGTTTTTGAAGCTCTAGCCTGATGCCAGATCAAAAGGGACCTGCAATCATCAAACTCCTGAAATTCCTTCTAATGTTATCTTTCTACTCACCACTGAAATAATTCCTTTTTCAGCACCACCTATAAGCCTTCCTGGTAGTGTTTGGATTTCTTTTTTGGTTTTTTTTTTTTTGGTTTTTTTTTTTTTTTAAGATAAAAGGAGGGAAATATTAACAGACATACAACATTTTACAACATATCACAAGCACAGTACAGACAATACAGAGTTACAAACAAAGTGGTAGGGAATTAACAATGGTTGTTGTATTACATATTGATATCTTCAAAGTGGCTTCTCATGAAAACAGATATAGACATGCAATACTGGTCAACCAAAGACTCATTGACAGTTTCTTTCAGCATAAAAATAGAAGACAGAAGAACAACCATATTAACAAAGGGTTTACTTGCAGCAATCAACTTGAAAAAAGGAACTAAAGAACTACCTTCGAAGTTACAGTTGCATAGTAAGTGCATGTTTGGGGTTAGAGCATGAGTTCCAATCAGCTTTTAGCATAGCAAATTTGGGGCCAGGGGCATAGCTCAAGGATAGAGTGCTAGCATGTGCCTAGCATGTGCAACACCCTGGGTTTGATCCCCAGCAACATATACATACAGATACACAGAGTCATATTTTCCAAAGATATAATCTGTATGATATATCACATTGTTTTATTTCTCCTTATTAAAGAATGGGTAGTTCCTGGAGACTACAGGAGCAAAAGACTAAACAACCCGTGAGACCACCATAGTCTTTCTTTCCTAGACACTCTAAATATTCTGAGTAAAAACTATTTTCACAGTTTCTCTCCCCATCCTATAGTATCTCCTCAGGCTGAAGGATGGAGGCCAGCCCTGGGTATCACCATGATGGAGCTGCCGCGGAGCCTGTATTATCTAAAGCGGGGTCTCAGCAAGGTGTGCTTCTTGCTTTCACCCATGGAAAACAGTTGTTCAGACCAACCCTGAAATGTACCAGCACTAGCAAAGATTGAGGCCCAAGCACAAGAACAACAAGGCCCACACGTGATTCTGATACAAGGCCCCAGATGAAAGACCTGGGCTGGTGAGACGTTCAGTGACTTGAGTTGGGCTATTGAGGCTCAAGTCACATCTCCACCAATTATCTTTTACACGGCTCAGGGTACCTTATTAAGCCCCTGAGCACAACTATTCTCAAGGGCACCATGACAATTTTGTCTGCTCTACTCTTCTTTAAGGTCATTATAAGAACCAAATAAAGTGACAGATGTACAATGTCTACCTACACCCCTTAATGCGCTGCAGGTCTGTCCAGATGTGCTGCCACCTGAGGACCTGTGCTCTTGCTGTCCAGGACTGAGAGGCTTTCCTAAACTGTGAGCTCAGGAACTCCTGACTTTCCCTTCGTCTCTGCTTGATTTCAGCTCTTTCTGTTGCAGGAAAAGATTCATTCAGTGTTCTCAGGAAATTTGTTTATAAGTACAGATGTACAGGGAATGAGGGTATAGCTCAGTGGTACAGCACTCACTAGCGTATGAAAGGCCCTGGGATCAATTTCCAGCACCACAAAACGAAAAACAAAATACCTTATTATAAACACAGATGTAAATGCAGAATTGGAATCTAGAACTAGGAAGCCATCAGAACCGAAGGCGACAAGCTCTCCTAGGCCATACGACCTCTGACAGAAAGTCTTTGCCAGCTTCTCCTTGTCCTGGTCCTAAAATACACAGGGATAGCCGAGAACAAAATCGCCGGCTGCACAGGGAGTTCTGCTCAGCAGGGGCTCCAGGCAGACTGCTTCCCTGAGGAAGGACCAAGGGCTGACAGGCTCCATGACTGACACCTCTAACGCCATCTCAGTTCTTTTCTCCTGCAGTATAAGGCAATGAGAGCAAAGTGTGCACTGGGCCTGTAATAAAATCACAAGACTACTTTCCTGGAGGATGAAGTTGTCAAAGGTTATAATTTGGGGCTGGGGATTTAGCTCAGCGGCAAAGCGCCTGCCTGGCAAGCGCAAGGTCGTGAGTTCGGTTCCCGGTACTGGAGGAAAAAAAAAAAAAAAAGGTTATAAATTATACCTAAGCCTGCAGTTACAGCCACAGAATATAGTTAGAGTCTAGTTTTGAACCATGTGGGTTTATTTATAGATTTGGGGCTCCAGTTTCCAATGTTAGAGCAGCTTCCTAACAGGCCTGTGGCAACCCAGATCCCCGCTGTTGGTCTTTTCCTCTTTTCTGTCTCTTCCCTAAACTCAAGGTAAATTTTTCCTAATCTTCCTGAGCCGTTAGGGCTTGTTATTTACGGTCAGCGGCGCTCAAACCAAAGAAAAACAGTCAATTCAACTATTTTCCGGGGGTCGAAAGCATAAGCTTCTACAATAGCTAGCTTCTACACTAACTTTCTCTCCCTAGCCTTGGAAATAACTGAAGGCTCAGGTGAGTATTCCAATATGATCCTTATTTTTTCCAGACTGCAGCGAACCGTCGTCAGTACTGTGATGTAAAAGCACGTACTCCTCTCCCCAGCTTCCATTTCTACCCCGCCCCCACCCTACCCCAGCGCCTCGGGCCAGCTGCCGCCCACTGCTTCTTCTCACCAGCTCTTGCTACTCCTTCGTCTACCGCATGATGGCACTGCTCCCTGGCAGCTTTCGCGCTTGCTCCTGGATTTAGAAAGGACGCTTGCGTCAAGTCCTCCACGCTGTGAGCGTCTCCCCTTGCCTTGGGCGTGGATCGCATGTGCTCTGTACTGCACTTCCAACGGCAGTCTTCTCTCTCTCTGTTTTTATTCTCCCCTTTTCTGGATCTGGATTTTTAAAGAAACGAAAAGCCAATGCTGGAGCCAGCACTGCACTTAGAACTGCCCCACCCCCAGCACACACCGACCTTAAAACAGGACCTACGGGCATGCCGGGCTCCTTGGCTTTCTTGACTTCGCCTGCTTAGGGGAGTACATGCTAGTATCCTAATTCATCTTTGAGTCAAAAGCCATTTGTGCCGTTTTCCTCAGGAAGCCCTCAGGTCACTAGTACCTAGTGACTGCTGGGATCCCCCACTCCAGCAATTCGCCACACGGAGAACACTATGCCATCCGCGGCAAAGAGGCAGAAGAACTGACCCTAGAGAAGATCTGCAGCTAAATACTCTTTCCACCCTCGCTGGCTACTGACCAAACTCTTGGAATAAGTCCCACTGTTCTCAGCTACAAAACAGCAACGACGATATTCATCTCATGAGGAATTTTAGGTAAAGCACCTCATGTACTTCATGTCAAGCAATGATAACTCCCTTGTCTCGGATCTTTGTCCACAGCCTGATTCCTTTATTATAAATTCCTTTGTCCGGGCTCGAGGACCCAACTGTCCAGTGTATTGTCATTACGTAGCTCTCTTTGCTTGCCTGTGCAAGTAGCAGTCACAGATGTGATACCTAGAAGATAAACTACAGGATTATGAAAAAAGGCCAACCTGTGTATATTTAAAGCGATAATTTTAAATATCCAAACCTATCATTATCTGAAATAGTGGCTTACACAAAATTAAAGCGTTTCCTTTCACAGACTGGACTTCTACAGTAGTAGCACAATATGTAGGACCAAGCATATTACGGGTTCTCATTTCTCCACCCGTGCAGTATTTCACTTACTGCTACAGCCCAAGTTGCCTCCTATGTGTCTACTGCAGTCACTAGAGAAGAGCAAAGCTAAGAAGGCGAGCAAGCCACCTCCCCTTAAGGACACACTACAGTGCCAGGGATCGCTCTCCTCTGTTTAGAACTCAGTCATAACCAGCCCCAAGGAAGCTGGGCGGTCAGAGAGGCTACTAGCTGTGCAGCAGAAAATGCTATTACTAGGAGAGAAAGACAACAGCATCCCAGAAAATCAGTAATTTCTCCCAAATCCAGAGCTGTTTCTACCAAGACAAATGTGAAAGCCAGGATAATCCATGTAAGCCAAAACTTGTGTGAGCTGCAAGTAACAATCCATTTATTTCAAAAAACTTTATAAAGAAAATTGAACATCAGCCCAAAATATGTCAATAAGTGACAAAGGCTCTCAGCTACATCAAAAGAATGAAGCTCTATCAGAAAATACTACACATTTCATTCTATAAAATCATTAATTCTTATAGTGGCTAGGCACCTAAATGCAAGAATTCCTTCTACAGTAATTTTGGCTAAAACTATTCCATCTCTGCCTGAATACCTTCAGGGCATGGTGACTGTGGCTCGAAGATCCACTGGGAGACACGGAAAAGCAGGACTAGGGACTCACAGGACACAAGTCGCAGACCCTGTCCCCAGGATACAAAGACATGAGCAAGTCCAGTGTACAAAATGCCCGACCACAGGATCAGCCAAGAGCAGGAGACATGGCGAAGGGCAAGGGGTTGTCCTTGGGCCTAGGGGTAAACTTGCCAAAAGAAATTGTCTTTCCTGCAACATAGGCTTGGAAATCTCAGAGCAGACACTAACGCCAAAGCCGTCCATACCTGAAACTAGTAGCTCCAGATAATCCTGAATAGGAAAGGCCAGTGAGACATGCGAGTGGAGATTTCACATAAACACCTATAACATGTTTCTGGAAGATAAAGACAAAACTAGTTACATTTAATTAGATGCACAGAGGTCACATTTGAAGTAGTAAGATAGAAGAGCAAACATATGTAAAAGTAAGAGAAGCTAGGAAAGAATCATTTCTACAGAATGGAAGACCAGAAAGCCAGAAGGAGGAAGATGAAGAACACATTTATAAATGAATAAGTGAATAAATCAAAGGAAGGGAAAAAAAAGGAAAAGGAAGGAAAGAAGGAAGGGAAGAAGGAAGGAAGAAGAAAGGAAGAAGGAAGAAGGAAGGAAGAAGGAAGGAAGGAAGAAAGAAGGAAGAAGGAAGGAAGATGAAGAACACATTTATAAATGAATAAGTGAATAAATCAAAGGAAGGGGGAAAAAAGAAGAGGAAGGAAAGAAGGAAGGAAGGAAGAAGGAAGGAAGGAAGAAGGAAGGAAGAAGGAAGGAAGGAAGGAAGAAGGAAGGAAGAAGGAAGAAGGAAGGAAGAAGGAAGAAGTGCAAGCAAGCAGAAAGGAAGGAAAGGGACAGAGGGATGGAAGGAGGGAGAAGGAGAGAAGAATAAAACCATGTGGTTGTGGTATGAAATCTGCCCTTCAACTATCCACGGCTATGACAATGTGAAACGATCAATCTACGAAGAGTACAGGTAAGCTCCAGGCGCAGCTCAGCGATAAAGTGCTCGCGTAGCAGGCACAAGGCTCCAGCTTTCATCACCAACCCTGGAAAGTAAATACATAAATGATGATTAAGCTCACATTTGGGAGGTTTCAGTCCAAGGTCAGTTGGTCCCCTTGCTGAGGCAGTGCATCATGGCAGGAGTGCGTGGTGGAGAAAGCTGTTCCCTCCGTGGTAGCAAGGGGAGCCAAAAACTTGGCGTCCCATTGTCCCTTTCGAGGGCACAACCTGGTGACCTAAAACCTCTCACTCGGCCCCACCTCTTGACAGTGGCATGCTGGAGGAACAAACCTTTACTATATGGGATTTGAAAGACACTCAAGACCCAAACTACTGCAACATATGTGGAAATTTTACTATTCACTTTAAAACTTACCCACAGGGTCTACCTTCTAGGGAACTATTCGGGGACGACTTTTGTTCCGAGTAATAGTTTAGATAAAACTTGCAACAGACACCTGGCTCAAAATTCTTCCATGTTCCTTTGTTCTGATCAGACATTCCATCCCCACACCACGGTGTGGTCCCCTTCTGCTTGGACCGGTCCTAGTGCCTTGAGAGTTTGCTACAGTGATTGGCAGTGCTCACACCCATTTGGCTCATACCCTAAGCCAAGCCAATAGCCTTGTTTTAAAGCTGAAGCTGAAATAGAGAAGTTTACTCTTCCTTCTCTGTGTTCTATGACGTTCTAAAAACCTGGAACCTGAAACACCCAGTGGACACATCACATGTCCAGTAAACCTGAGCCAATCAAGCCAAACAGCCAAAGCAGAAAGGTAGAGACAGAGGTGGGGGTTTTAGTCCTGAGTGGGGTAGTCTCATGGCCTTTGTGAAGAGGTGAATTCCTACAGAAGCCCTCCTTGTGGGGTGCCGTATTCCCTGAGTGCCAGCTCAGGCTCAAAGCCACATTTGGGCAGCCAAAAAAAATGAATGTAATAGTAATTGGAGGATCTGCCCCATGTTTTGTAGGTGGTACAGTTAAAAGAAGGAAGATTTCCTGTGAGATTGTTGGAATAAACAAGCACCAGTCTCCAGCAGAGGACAGGGGTGTCCAAGAAAATTGGATCTCTTTAAGGCCACTGGCGGTGGAGGAACCTGTAGGGCAATAAGAGAAGGAAGCGACATGCACAGAACCGCAGCGATGTGGGGGGTAAATGAACACGGAATGCCAAGAAGGGATATGCGGAAAAATGACCCAACAGCATCACGTAGCCGTGTCCGTAGCTGTGACTCATGGCGATCAGCATAAAAACCATGAAACAAAAGAATCCCCTGGAAGTTTCCAAAGCATGTTGGGAAAGAAAACTCAAACTGGGATTTTTTGCAGACAAACCGCATAACTCAAACATAAAAGTTCATTTTGGGTGATCACAGCTTGGAAAGGGTTGGACTATATAGAAAACAAACAAAGAAAAAGTTCCCAAGAGTTGGTATCAATGATGCGTCAAGCCCTAGACAGAACAAAAATCATGAAGACCAAGACAGCATCACGAGCTGGGTGTAATGGTACCTAACTGCAATGCCCTGCTCCTCCTGAGGCAAGAGGATCACAAGTTTGAAGCCAGGACAACTTATTTGGAGATCATATCTCTAAATAAATTGTTTAAAAAGCCAGACACAAAAGGAAAAGTTTTGTCTGATTCTGTTAATATGAAATATGTATAACGGACAAATTCCTAGGGACAGAAAGACTCAAGGGGACCAGCAGCTGGAGGACAAATGGAAAATTATTGATTATTGGTTGCAGAGTTGGAGTAAGAAAGAGATTTTAGAAATAATGGTGACGACCTCATAACATTGCAAAAGTAATTAATTCCACTGGATTATTTAAAATAACATTATATAAAGGTGCTTCCATCTTCATACATTTACTGCGGTGAAAGTATTTTGTCTATAAATTTGGTGTGGCACTCCTAAGGTAACTAGTTTATGGGCTTCACCGGCACCCAGGCTTTCAGGAAGTCCCTGGTAGATCCTGACTCACAAGCTCTGAGACCTCCACTTGACCTTCCTTCCCTGTCTCTGCACAGATCCCTTCCTTCTCACAGGTGGTCCCTTGGGGCTGTTCTAACTCTTTATTTCTTAAAATCCTCTCCTCTCCTCCAATTTCAAAGCTGCTATATTTGCCCCTGACAAACATGCTAACCTTGCAAATGCGCTCACCTCCAGCATGGGTTACAGACAACTGTTCTTGCCAGGCACCATTTCTGGTGCTTCATAATGAAAAGGGGCCCCAAGGTGGAGTAGTGATTGTACCTTCTCCCTCAATAGCTTAACGCCCCTAGAAACACACAGCCAGTACTGTCCTGAAAAAAATAAGTGCTTATTGTCTCCTTCTTACAGGATCCTAGCTTGCCTGGGAGCATAATTCCGACATGATTTTCTAGTGTTAGCCTCTGGCTTCCATTGTGACCATCTCTCTTATCACCTTAACATAGACAGAAAACATTTCCCCTGCTTAACACCTCGATGATGGCATGGGGGTCGTAAAGGGGCACCAGGAAAGGAAGAGGAGGGGAAAATCTTAACCTGGGCATGGTCCCAGCATGAAATGAAATATGGAATGAAAGTGCATCCACAAAGTTAACTGTAAGAGAGGGAGTAATATGACCTTTACCTTGAGCTAAAGGAGTTTTGGACAGAGTAAATGAAGATGAATAATAACCATGAGATGGAAAAGAAGTAAAGTGAGGAGATCAGATACTGAGGCCTCCATCATACACTCTGGATATTACTGATCAGCTGTGAATCTAAATCTTTATTTGCCAGCAAAAACAGTCATTCATCCTCTTTATTTTTTGTCTTTTACATTAATTAGGCACCTGTATTTAACAAGTTAGTAACAGTGAAAAGAGAAGAAATTGCATTTGGAAATGTGGCTTTTGAGAATCTCAATGGCTAGAGACAACGTAGAGTAGAGAAATAAATTCTATAACACCTGATAATTCAAATAATAAAGATAGGAATGAGCTGCTATGTAGACCTAGAAGAAGGGAATGCTTAGCTCCACCTGACCAAGAGATGACATGGGTTGGCTTTGAAATGTAAGGAGGAGCTTGCTGGGTAAAAGAATGGAGGGCAGGATGTAATGAATAGGAAAAAAAACACTTATTTGTAAAGGTAAAAAATTAAATATATGATACATTGAGACAAGACTAATGTAAAGTTTAGTGAGGCAAAACGAGAAGTTTGCACAATGCTTTGGAACGGATTGTGAAGGACTGAGCAGGTTCGATCGCAGTGCTGGGATAGCTCTGGGTGTCAAAGAACCAGCAAAGTTCCAAACACAAGCAGGTCCATTTTTAGAGAAGAGACAGCAATATAGACCCGGAGCAATGAGAAGCAGGCAAGACATTTTACAGTAGCCCAGGACGAAAAGCAAAGCAAAGTACCAAAGATAACTACAGAGACTGTACTCTAGAAGCTTGGCAATTTGGTGTTCTCACTAAGATAGTCTGAGAGAGAGGTTTGTAAATTCAGCTCAAGTCTTGTTCTGTGTAGAGCAATAATGTATGCAGTCGGCTGTAATAAACTCGCAACCATGTGTGCTTCAACTGCACTTTCATTCTCTAGCTGGTACCTTCACTGAAGAAGATACACTTGGTTCGGTGTCAGGAACTTCTCGTGGAATAGTCCTCACGAAAATGGATGCAGCAGCGGGTGGTCACCACGGATGACAGTGAATGACCACCACATCCTTCTCTCAGCATGTGCAAGCCATCTGCGTAAGTCTGCTGAATAATAAAGATCCATGGTTAGCTCAATAGAGCAAAACTTTTATAAATCAGCATTTGGGCTTTGTGGAAAAATTGGTACGACACTCTGCGCCTCTAAATGTCTTCCTTTGTTAACTTACCGTTGTCCCCCAGAGATGAATGATGACAATCTGGATTTCCTCCTGCACAGTCTCTCCTGGCCCAGGGATGTGATCCATCCAGGGCTGGGATGTGACCTAATTAAAGACAATTAGTTCAACTCTTACTATCCTTCCTTGGTAAGGATTGCAGTTCATTTTTAGTGTTGCTTGTTTGGGCTTTCCAATCTTTCAGTTATCTCTGCGGGCAAAAAACATGGAAACAAAACAGAACCTGAACAGTTTGCTTTTTCCCTGAAATCAGCAGTCAGCAGGACACCATCTGTTTCAAGAGGCGGCTCAGAAACATTCCTTGTTTTTGTGTCTCCAACACGCTAAGTCAAAATCGAAATGTGCTGACACTTGGCATTTGAGGGAGTCCTGGGAGTCCCAGTGGTTCTTGCCCGCACATTTGCTACCACTGGTTTTATTGACTTATGCCGTGCTTTTGTATTCACTCTTAGCCATGTGTCCCTCGCTCACTGCTTTGTGAATATACTGCCTGTGGATCCTTTATGTGAGCTACTCCTCTCATCTTCCTTGAAGTCAGCTGTAATTACAATGTCCGGATTATGTTGGGTTTTTTTTTTATGTCTCCCTGTTTCTTGCCAGTTAGTGTTTCCAACAATGGAACTATTATCTCTCTTTTCTTCCCACACTTATTGGTCTGACTCCCCAGTTGGGTGTACAAGTCTGACAATAACCAGCACCTTTAACCACCACAAAGCCCAACATGACCGGGTCATTTTCCTTTAAAACTCACATCACCGTTACTTTCTTTTTATACCCTCTCCTTTGTTGGACATAGTTAGTTCCAAGTAGCAGTGCATTGAATTTCCACACCCCCAAGAGATGCAATTATCTCTAAGATATTGTCACTGGATGGGCTCAGAGGAAGTCCCCCAAAACAGAGATGGGGACCTGAACACACCCACCTATGGGGAAGGCTTCAGATTCGCTGGCTTCCATCACAGAAAATAAATTCTCAGTGTGTGTCACTGAGAGCATAAAGAAGGTTATTAGGCAGAATTTGAAAGGTTCATGCCCAGAGACAACAGGTCCCAGCCCTCAAGAGAGAGGCACCTCGAGGCCTGGAACTGGGTGTATTTTTGTAGTTTTAGAAGAATCCTCAAGATGAGTGATGTAGGATGTGTATGCCTGTCTGTCCATCTTACCCATCTGGAGGACTATGTGAGCATATCAGCCACTTATATGTGTCTGGGGGTTGGGGAGACGGCTCAGCAGCACAGCGCCTGCCTGGTAAGTGCAAGGTCCTGAGTTCGATTCCCAGTACAAAAAAAAAAAGACTCCATATGTGTCTAAAGTTGTGGTACGCTGCACAACTTAACAGTGTGCTTTCTTGAGGGTAAGAGTGGAAGTCTTTGGGTTTGTGAATTCACAGAAATCTCAGTTTTATTGTACAGTTAAAAGGCCTTTCTACTGGTGAAGGATGACGGCCCATTTAGAGGTAAAAAGCATGGTTTACCAATTTATAGGCTTACTGTTATCTTCTAAATCCTTAGGATATTTTATTTTCATGAATTTCCTGGAAAGGAAAAGTAGTACTTTTGTGTCCTGAACCTACCGTTTTCCACAACTTTCCTTCAAAGTATAATTTTAAAATTATTATTTCCCTGGTCTCCTTTTTACCTCCCTTTCTTCCTTCTCTCCTAACATCAACTTGCTGTGTGTGTGGTTTCTGTTACACTAGAGAAATCCCAAGGGCTGTGTGGTGGCTAAACTGTCTTCAAGATACCACCAAGTCATAGCTCATTTCCGTGTCAGCTTTAAAGTTTCTGTTGTTAAGAAACCACCGCTGGTTCATGTATGGGTATGTGTTCCATGAGGTCACTATCTTTCATTATCACAAAATGTCTCACATTACTTATTTACTAATACAGCATAAGTTTGTATCAGTTTATGTATATATCATAAGGCTGCCCAGGGAAATACCACAGTTGGGGTTGCTTAATAAGAAAAATGTATTTTCTCACAGTTCACATGTCAAAGCATCAGGGTTGCTTCCTTCTAAGGGTCCTGAGGGACAAGTCTGGTCCCTTGTTGGCTCATACATGGCTATCACCTTCCTGTGCCTTCATGTTGCTTTTAGTCTACTATGTCTGTGACCCAGGTCGCTCTACTTATGAGGACACTAGTCCACCTGCGTTAGACCCCACACAATGAGTGAGCTCATTTTAATTTAATTACCTCTGCAAAGCTCCTATTCCAAATGAAGTCACTTTCTGAGGTCTCGGGGTTGGAATTTAACATATGAATTGGAAACAGTTTTGCTTACAGTGTGTATGTGCGCATGTACTATAAACCAGGTCCCCCTCTCATTCCTGGGAATGTAGCAGTGAACAAGACAAAGTCCTTGACTCCATGGACTAGCACAGATTGAGGTTACGGACCATAAACCATCCATGTATGTTGTGATGCCAGCTGATGGTATCTAGAATCTAAACAAAGCAAAAAGCAGAGAGTACCAGGCAGCGGGTGGAGTTGGGAGGGCTGCAGCTGTCCATGTGGTCACTCTGGAAGAGGGGAATGAGCAAAGAGAGAGAGAAGCCACCTAGCTGTAAGAAGACCTGCCCTGCAGGAAGACGGCACGGCAAGTGCACGGACTTGAAGCAAGAGCATGAACGGCATATTTAAGAAGTAAAAAGAAAGCACAGCATGAAACATGGGAAATTCTCAGAAGCTGAGAGGTGGGAAATGCTGCCCTAGAGGTATGGGGTCCTCCAAGGGCCCGGAATTTATTCTAAGTGTTATGGGAGGCAATCTGCAGGTTACAAGCAATGAACTGATTTGAAAAAGAAAATTATGCTATACTTGGATTTTATGAGTTATAATTTACAACTCTTTCTAAGAAATATATAGCCTCTATGATAAAATGTTCAAGGAATTTTCAGATAGACTTCATTGAAATTAAGAATTCCTCTGGAAAAGGAATTAGCTATCACTCACCTACCTGATTGTGCATCTTACACATTCATAAAATGTATCTCCACCAAAAGAGAATTTTGAAATTAAAATTTGTCACATGCTTGTCACCAATTTGTCTATAAAATGTTGGTTTAATGAATAAAATTATTTTTAAGAATCATCCCGAGAACTGACAATTCACCATAGAATTTCTATTTGTGTATATAACTTCTATTATAGCAGTTTCTTTGGCATATTCCAAATATAATTCTCTTAATTGTGTTATTTTCAAACCTAAATTTAATATTCACATCCTATATCTATAATGCATTCTTTTCTAAATTTAAGAAGATAAATGATTACAAAATTTCTGAAAGGTCAATGCAAGCCTATTTCTAATACAAACTGACTTCTCTGAAGTAATAAATAAGGGGTTGGGGATTTAGCTCAGCGGCAAAGCGCCTGCCTGGCAAGCGCAAGGTAGTGAGTTCGGTTTCTGGTATCAATAAAAACAAAAAAAAAAACAATGAAGTAATAAATAAGAAGTTTCCTAAACATTTTTTTTATTTCCCTCTTTAAAGTCCTAGTATACATTAGGACTTTAAAATATACATTAAAATCCCAAGATTTAGAGACTGTATGACTAAACAAAGCTGATTTTTTTCTCTACTTAGAAAAAAATAAATGAAAGCCCAACAACTATTTTGCTTATGTGATTTGCATTTTCTGATCTAAACGTATTAGTATTCACCAAAGGAGTTACAGAAAACATCCAGGGGAAACACACTGTCAGCAGAAGTCGTGTCTTGTACCATCTGTTCATATTGTTTTCAGTACCAATTTTTCGATTGCCTTCCTAATAAAGAAGGGCAAATTACAAGTCCTTAGATAAACTTAGGCTTTGTTTTGGGTGTATGTAAAACTTATGAAAATAACCTCTAATAAATGACATTACAGGGGCTGGGGATTTAGCTCAGTGGCACAGCACCTGCCTGGCAAGTGCAAAGTCGTGAGTCTGATTCCTGGTTCTGGAAGAAAAACAAAAAAACAGAAAACAAAAAACAAAAAAAAAAAATGACATTACAGAAAAAGTAAATTTTTTAAAGTCAAATCAACTTCAGAACCATTTCCCCTCTCACCAGGATGGGCAAGTAGAGCAGCAGCTGTTTTCAAGGTTTTCTCTCTACCCAGGTCTCCTAGTCACTTTCTAATCACTAGAACAAGATTCCCAACACCAACACCCTAAAGAAGAAGTTTCTTGTCTCAGTCTGCAGTCAGCTGGCTTTAAAGCAGGATCAGGGTGGCAGAGGAGCACAGTAGAGGAGAAGGTGTGGAATTCACCACAACTAGGATGCAGAGAAAGCAGAGAGGAGTGGACATCTTGCAGAGAGGAGAGGGACATCTTGCAGCTCATGACCCCAGTACCCCACAGCTAACCAGGTCCAACGTGCCAACAGCACAATCAGCTACTGGCCTTATCACTGAGTGAACCCCTGATGAGTCCAGGGCCCCCATAATCCAACCAACTCCCACCCACAGGAGGCTTTGGGGAGACTTTTGAGATCCAAATCATAATACAAAGCTGATTAGATTAATCAGCTTTCCATTGCTGCAACAAAGTAGTGAGAAAAGCAGCTTACAGCAGAGAAGGATTTCTCCCGGCTCACAGTTTCAGAGATTCCAGTCCATGGTCCCTTGGCCCTGCTGCCTTTGGGCCGGTGGCGGGGCAGGAACCGCATGTGGATGAGGCCCATTTACCTCACGGTGGCTGGTAAGCAAAGAGACAGGAAGGAGCCAGCATCCCAGTATTACCTGCAAGGGCACAACCCCTACCACCTAACTTCTTCCACTAGGCCCAGCCTCCTATGGGCTCCAACCTCCTCCCAGTAGTGCTACAGACTGTGACCAAGCATTTGCTACATGGGATGTGGGGATCTTTTAAATCCACACTGTGGCACCAAGTCTTCCATAACGTGGAGAAGCAGGCAGAGGCAGGTCCCCAGAGGTCACCCTTCACCCACCTCCTACCCATTTGCTTATTGAAGAATTAAGTACCGGTTGAAAATAAAAATTTCTTTTCTGGTGTCGTTTAGTCATAAAACTCAAAGCAAAGAATGAATGGAAGATGTTAAGGGATGGGACAGGAGGGGAAGGTAAGAAAGAAAAAGGAGAGA